TCTCTTTCGTATTCCGTAACGAAAAGATTAATAGACTTTCAATTTTTTAATTGAGATATTTCATATGCGTTCGCAATTGTGAAAGGAAAAAATTATTTAATAAAAATAATGCGATCGTGAAAAATCAATGAATTTTCAATTTGTGAATGCAACAGTGATACAATCAACGATTCAACTCCGATCCATCTCTTATCAGTTGACCGCAGAGTAAATGCCGGGACTTGACCGAACCGAATCCATTATTCCACGTCATACCCGTCATGATGGATGACAGTGATTAATTATCCTGTCCTCGGTAATGCCATCAGTTCCCCCCCAGAAGCCGCGTATTAATTCCTCAGCCTCTAGCCCCAACAAAATGGTGAACGCAACAGCAAACTCGGATAGAAAAACACAATAACGCTGTTTAAAAAAAAAAATCCATGAAATATTTCTTTTGCTCTTTTACCCCGACATTTTTTCCATTTTTTTTTCGTTGTTTGTTTGCTCTCGCCATATTTGCAATTTTTCGCCAACTTTTTTTTTATGTTTTTCTCCTGTTGTGTGCGTATCTACTGTAAACAATAGTGTGTATATTCGTTTTTTTTTTTTTTTCCGTCCCTTTCTATCCTCGCAACGTGCCATGGAGAACGGACCATGGATTTGCGGCCAATGTCCATGGAACTGGGGAGAGAGATTGGAAGATCGATTTTTTCATCTCCACGTGGAAATTAATTCCCCCGAAAAACATATTTTCGCGGGAGTTTCGGAAAATTTCTTTTTTTTTTGGGATTTATTGATGAAAAGCACCGGTGCCAGTTGATTGCCGGGAAAACACTCAAGAACTGAAATACTTCTGGTAAATTAATTTACTTTTGCTGAGTATATTTACTCGGTAAAAATATTATTTCCTGGGATTTTTTAACGAGAATGTTAATCAGTGGAAATTCAGGGAGATTGGCAATTTAATTTGAAAGATTTGGAATATTTGATAAACATATTCGGAATTTATTTTTGAGTCATTTCCATTTTTTAAATGGCAATCGATTCATTTATTTATATTCAATTAATCGATTAATTTATTTATATTCAATTAATTTGTAGATCTGGGATCTCAGGATGACAAAAATTATAAAAAATATTGAATATCTAGTTAATTATCTCCCTGAATCCCTGAATTACTGATAATTCAATTGATTTTATTCTCAATTATTCCCGAAATGATTAATTAAATTATTGTCAACAAAAAAATTGTTGCCCCATCAATTAATTCGTAATTCAATCAATTAATTTCCTTTTAATTCAATGAAATCCCGATTCCCTAGTATCAGAACAATAAAATTAAATAAAAATCCCGAGAATTCCGAAAATGACTCTCCTAAATTCGTAAATTCCCGAAAATTCAATTGAATGATAACCCAATAAATTCCGCCATGCCTGAGTGAAGAAAAAATGGAAAAAAGCGAAAAACTTTATGGCGCGGCATTTGAATGAAGAAATAAAACGTAAAAACCGTGAGTAAACAATGAAATAATCCATTGAGTTGTCGAAACCTGTCACGGATAATCGTAAGCGTGATCCTATTGTGATAATAATACAGAGTAATTGGGCACCGAGGGTTGCCATCACGAGAAAGCAACATGTGCGTCCTGATCCGTCACACCTGATCAGCAACCCCTGATTTTCCTCCCCGAATTAACAGCAATTTATCCCATACCCACAACACCCAACCTAATTCCATTCAACTCGAATTAACCCAGAGCTCACATTATTTTTTACTCCGCTCAATTCTCATTCCTCTCATGTACACGCAAACCGCAATTGAACTCGTGTATGTGCTCTCGGCTTGTGTCGGCCATGTTGTACCGAGTCTGCGTACAAACTGGCAAGAAAAGTATAGACATCAATCCAGCGATTGACTAATTATCCGAAGGACAATTAAATTCAATTGAAACGATGAAAAATTATCGTCGACATTTTTGCGGAATTTTCCGGTGTCGGTAATTAGGGGAAAATTGTGGATAGAGCGCGGGATTGGGCGGGGGCGTTGGAGGGAAAATGAGGAAAATGGTCGAAATATTTCCGCGGATTTCTCCGCGTTTCCCTTATCGCACATGCGCACAATGCGCGTCAATATCAAACCGAATGGCCTCGGTCATGCTCGGTACCCCCTCCTTTTGGTTTACGGATGATGGAAAATAAAAAAAAAGGGAAAGTACTCTGACTCACCCGGCCAACCAGCTCTCGAGGTGATATCCAATGCCGTAGCGATGGCAACCGCTGTATCCTGCACTCTCTGGCGTGCGCCAACTCTCCACCTCCTGGTGGAAAAAAAAAATTGGGATAGAGCAGGAAAATCATGACGACAATGTGAGGAAGGATGAAGTCGAGTTGACGGGGGTGAGGGAGAAAAGGAAATATCGGGCTTTGATGATGCGCGGGGAAAATTTCACTCCGGAAAATGAAGACGTCGGGGAACTTATTTCTCTCTTTTTTTTTTTTTTGGTGGAAAGTTTTTCCTCGGAGAGTTGAAGAGACAGTCGAGAATTTTTAGATTTTCCGGGAGGGAAAAGGCTAGCGGAAAATTTCCGGGGAATGTAGTCGCGTGATTTGCATTATTTTTCGGAATGTAATTTGTAATTTGTAAATTTCCAAATATTTGGGATTCACTCAGGAAAAAATGAAAATTCGAGAATTTTTTAGTGGAGATTCTAAATTTCGAAAGAATTCTCTGTAGCTGGATGAAAACGTCGATTTTTTATTTAAAAATATTTAGCAGTATTATTAAATAACAATTTAATTAACCCTTTTTATTTGATCCTTTCGTCACTTTATATTCCGAATTTCCAGTGAATATTTCTGCAAATTTTCCGAAACAGAAAATTCAAAAAAATAAACCCTCTGGGTTGTGCATTTTCCTAGCCCAGAGGCGTTAAAAAAAAATGTCCATTGACAGAAATTCTTGAAACAATCGAGACAGTTTAATAATGCAAATGCCCTCGAGACGAAACGCTGAAGACACCGACGGCGTCGCACCTCCGTCTTTTTTTCAAGTAAAAAAATTGTCCCGAGATGTAGATAAGTGCCAATGAATTCCAAATCCCTCGTTTGAATTCTTTATAATTCCCTCCCCTCATAATGGAAAAATGATAAAAATCCCAGTGATACCTGAGTCGACCATTAAGACCAAGGATTACATTGTGATTAACGGTAGCAGGACCTTATTCCGTTTCTGGCACACTCCCACATAATCCCTTAACGAAAATTTCAATTTCTCTCGGTACCTAAGTAAACGAAAGCCTCCATACCCCTGATTTGCCCACCCAAAGTCCATTGGAGTTTGTCTTCCCTCGGAAATTTCGTGAGTACACGGGATACAAGCATATATACACACTATATTCACTAGACCATTTCAGGGAGGCACTCACTCTCACATACAATTAAAATCCTAATTATCAAAATTTACATTAAATTTAATTTTCAAAGAGCGACCGATCAATTTTATTGATTTCAAATATTTAATTTCCCGATGATTCGGTGGATGGAAAATTACCCAATAGCTTGTACTTCTGTTGAAAATTCATATTTTACCGCGGAATTGTTGTTAATTATATTTTTATATTTTATATTATTTTTATTTTTATTTTTAATTATATTTATTGAAGATTTATTGTTCATGGAAATTTAGCTTTTTAATTGATAAACATTTATCTCTCTTGATTAAATGAAAAGTTTATTTATTTTAATATTTCCGTAGTAACAAATAATTAATTCAATTAATCAATAATTTATACGTTAATATTGTTCCCCTCTCCGGTTTTTATGTCGACATGTGTTTTATTTCGTTTGATTAAAATTTTTTAATTAAAATTTCTATATCAAAAAGATTATTTATTGTCAATTATTTGGATAATATTTAAACGTAAGTTTGGGGGAAGGGGGGGAAGGGGGGGGGAGGGGCGATGGGTATCACCTCTGAACTCACCTAGATGTGTATGTATAATGTATATATCCCTGGCATATCCCCATCCCCTAGGGTTGGCATATCGAGCGGGTTGTCATGGTCTCGACACATTGCACACTGCAATCCTCAGGTACACACACTCACTGCCACATCGATGTACCCTCACACGAATTCTCGCGCATGGCGCACTTTCCCGATGTACAGATCGTCTACAACAAACCCGACGATTATATATAACCATAGATGGCATATGACTGACTCTCTGGTGGCGCGCGTATGAGTCCACGAGTGTGTACAATCAAACATTGTTCATGATTTAGTCAAATATTGGCGAAATACACAACTTTGTAGTGCCTCTTCGTGTATCTACCTATGTATCATACCGAATAATCCGCTGGAGATTGCGCCCCGATTGTCCACTCGTTAAAGTTAGACGAGTGCCACAACTCAGAGATTCATTCATTTTTTTTATCCACCATAATCAATCACTAATTATTCCTTAAAGCCACAATTATTTATATTTTAGTTTCAAACACTCGGAATTTTACGGTGCACATTTTTTCATCAATTTCGGTTAATTATCCAGGAATAATTTGATTACGAAATGTATTATGCCTCGGAGTCAAAGGAAGGAATATTTTGTTTATGGTGAATAATCATGATGGGATAAATATTTCATCGATAAACAAATTCCGTTCATTCAGTTTTCCGAGTCGTTAAATTAGTAATTAACATTTTTATTTAATGTACACGAGAGAATGGATTTATTTTTATTCGCGAGTGATGCGTCGAACATTTAATATTCGAAAATATTAAATAATTCAATCCAGTCGCAGTTAATTATGTAAAAAAATCGTACTGCCCTGCAATTAAGTCCATAAAATCATTTCCACTGATTAATAAACCATTTTTATCAATCAATCAATGTACAGCATGATAAATAAATATTTTTAAGAGTAAACGAATGAATAATAATGAATTGAAATGAAACTTTGGAAAATGGGAATATCAATTAAGTCAATGACAACCAATAAAATATTCGTAGAAATACGTGGATTTATTTTTTTAACATGTACATCATCTCCTGTGTGGCATTTCAGATATCTCAATTTGTTGCATTTAATAAACAAAAGACCTTGAACTAATATAAGAACAGGTGGGTGAGTTCAGTGAACATTCCATTTGATGTGAATAATAATGACGATGGCCTCTCGTAATTATACTCGATATAATAATATATACAATTTTATCAGCAGTCGTGGGAATCCCACGGGCTTCAATCAATCCCAGATTTATTTTATCCCTAAATATTCAATTTGATTATCAATTTCGATGATTAACGACTGAAGTTACCCGAGAATTCTCAAAACTGCGTCATCTATTCATTACGCCTAATATAGTTATCAGTTTGCTTTAAGATTCCATTTATTTATATATTTATATTCTATATATATTTATTTATAATATTTATATAACTCTTCGTAACATACAATAATAATGTACATTATACACGTTACGCTGTGCGACTATCTACATTTTTCATTATCATACAAAAAAACATTGGGACGTTGCCCGGGGCATCATCCTCTCGTTATCTTACCAATAATAATTTAATAATAAACAAAACGTTCATCCTCATTTTGTGGTTTTTGTTTTTTCTGTTTTCCTTTCGCACGAATAATTATCACAATTTTCGCTTTTTGCATTAATATTTTAAAACATTTACAACCGCAAGTCTTCGAGCACCGATAAATAGCTCTTGATAAAACGATAAGTCTCAAACTGTCGGAGACAATGAAATATTCCGGACGGAAAGCCAAGATTTTTCACCAGTACTCAACCAATAGCCTCAAGTACAAAGGAATTATTCAGAATTCATTGAGATGTTAGTGCGTAAGAGTAAAATAAAAATTATAAAAAGACAGCTGATAAGCGGAATTGCTCATGACTGCTATCACCAGCAATCTCAAAATCCGATATGAGATATCAGGATGACGAGTCTTGGGCCGAAAAAAAAAATAAAACTTGTACCAAGAAGTGCGCATTGAATATTCAAAATAAATATCGGTATATCAGAATATAATGCAATCACATGAAACATTAGTGTAACCACCGAAAATATCGTACTCCTGGATGACGAGACAGTCGAGACATTAACGAACACTCTTTTATTCACTGAGAGCAACCAGTGACTCTGCAAAAAGCCAACAGCGTATCGTTATCAGAGTCTAATAATTATCGAATCATGAAGAAAGCCTTCAAAACTCCGGGCTGTTGGCTCTTGATAATGTATACCACTTGATCACCTAAACTCGTGAGTAAGATCCAGGATCTTGATCATCATCATCATCATCGTCAGGTTCCTCGACACCAGCGATAACGTGCCAGCTGACGGGTTGATGCTCATTACGTGCAATAAGATCAGTCCTTGATCTGTCATCATCGTTGATGATTGCGGACTGATGTGCCGCATTTGCGGTGACTCAGGCAAGTGCATACGGATGTGTGGCGTGATGTCACAATCCAGCAGCAGATGCTGATGGTGGTGGTGGTACACTGCTGGAGCTCGTGACACTGGTTGAATAATGATGCAATGGACTCTGATAATAATCCTGATGATGATTCGCCATGTTGTGCATTGCCCCAGGATTGCCACCGGTGTGCATTCCATTGTGATGATGATGATTTGGTCCAGCTGAATGAGGATGAGGATGATGGGGTGAGCCATAATTGGCGTAGCTCTGGTGTAGCTCGTACATCTTGAGATCCGGATGTTTTCGATCTTGTGCGCCAGGTGATGTTGCTGCTGTTTCACCTGGTAGTAGCCTCGTGATGCTGAAGGGATGGCTGGCAGCGGTGTACGGTGGTTCCTGCTTGAGACTTCCCGTCATGCCGTGGTGAAGGGCCGCTGGGTCCGTCAATAGGTGTGGATGAAGACTCCGGCCCACCATGGCAGCCAATTCATCGTGTGCAGCACCGAGATCAGGCCCAAGTAGACCACCGATATCCGTCGTATCGCTCTTCAGGCTGTGATGCTGGTGAAGGCCCGTCGCATGGTGATGGTGGGAAGACACGAGGGAATGCAGATCTTTGTCGTCGGGTTGTTGAACACTGTGATGAAGTGGTGTCTTTTTGCCATGACCTAGATCATGGGAGTTGGGACTCGTGTGACCAGCACCGTGATGACCCGAATGGGGATTCTGTGTTTTGGTTGATTGCCTCTGGTGCTCCTTCTTCTCGTCCTTGAATCTCTTCTGGCGACGGAGATAGCAGCCATTCTCAAACATATTGCCACTCTCTGGGTGGAGGGTCCAGAAGGATCCCTTTCCTGGTTTGTCCGGTGTTCTGGGGACTTTGACGAAACAATCGTTGAAGCTCAACGAGTGTCTTATCGAGTTCTGCCAGCGTTGCTGGTTCGTTCGGTAGAATGGAAACAGATCCATGATAAATTGATAGATCTCAGAGAGTGTCAGCATCTTCGTCGGGGCATTCTGTATGGCCATTGTGATAAGGCTTATGTAAGAATATGGTGGCTTGGCGTGGGTGTAATTTCTTCTGTAAGATTTGTCGTTTCTCGCACGTTGGAGGGCCGAATTTGGGGAATCTGGCTCGGTAAGTGACAGAGGATCACTCCTCACACCACCAGCACCACCCGCTGTTATCGATGGATATCCGACGGCACCCATACACGCGCTTGCACCACTCATCGCTGAACTACCATAACCACCCATACCACCACCACCCATCGATGTCATTCCCATTGAGCTCATGGTGCCCATATTAAATCCAGCCTGAAGACTTGAACTCTGGGGACTACAACTCGGTCCAACACCAACACCCATCGACATACCCATCGATACACAACCCATTGAATTTATCGAGCTGTATGTCGGCGCCATACTTCCCATACTAGACATCGCTGCTGATGTCATAGCACCTCCAAGGCTGCCAGCCTCGCTGTACAGCTTCTGCGACTGGAGCATTGTCATTTAGAACTACCTTCGTTAATGACTCGTCTCAAAAACCAGTTCACCACCGTCAAATCAATATCATCAGTTCAAATAAACAATCCATTAATAACTTCACAATCACCAATAAACATTAGTCCACTTATCAGTTCCGGGATCAATCCGTTCCTCACGTATCTCCACTGACCCACTGCTCCAAGCGCAAACGTGTTAAACAAGAAAAAAATGAAAAAAAAAAAAGCAAAAAAAAAACTTCCACAAACACTTTCCACCGAAAGCGGTGTAATTTGAAAATAAAAGGATAGTCCACGGCTGCTGTTTCACTAGTAAACTCCGAAAACAATGGGCCGATGTCACAGGCGCAACCAGTACTCGATGACGCTGTACCCGATAGGGGTAATTGTTGTTCCAACAACAACTATATAACACACGTAAGGGTACCGCAGTTGTTATTTGCGGGTGTTTGAGGCGTGCGCCCCTTTTCTCACTCACTCACTCTGTGTGTAGTGTGGATGGAGGCCGGTTAGCGAGTGTACTCCGGTACTCTTGAGCCACCGAGTCTTGTTCAAACAATCCCCACTACTTGTCCACAGCCGAATGTCTGTAGCGAGGAAGAAGAACCGCCCTGTTCGCCACTATCCGCCAATCCGGGTTGTTCTGTCCCCCGTTGCGAGGTGATCGAACCAATGACCGGTGCCTTTGGGCGGTGACTGATGGCACATCGGGCACCTACGCCAGGTCCACACGCCCTTACTGCACCCTCAAAAGGTACATCTGCTTCACCAGGTACAGCTCTCTCTCTCACGCGCATGCTGCCAGGTTAAACCGCACCATTCGTGTGATGCGCGCGCAACTGGGGGAATCCCCCCGGTACGCCTTGCGCGCCAAAAACCGACGGTTCGGTCCGCTTGCGTAATTTCGCAGCGACGTCGCCGTTTTAACCGACGTCTTCAACGTCATGTCAACTGACACCGCGTATGAAGTCTCGGTGAAGTTGAAATAAAAACGAAATTGCCGATAGGCGCGAGTGAATAGATTTTTTTTTGAAAATTAGTTTTAATGCGTGCTGTTTGTCAGCCGACGGAGGAGGCGCGTGATTGTCATCAGAGGATGGGGCAAATTCGAGATAACAGAGGTTAGTGCAATGTACTTGTTGTGTACTTAATTACTCATTATTCACTGGGGAAGACGTGAGGAATTAGACTGGCGTCAGGGCACGTGATCGGTTGGGAGAGATTTAAAATTATGGGTGGAATACACTTATTATCGGGGATGGGACTGTTGTACCTGTAGTTTATGGGGGATTAGTCTACAAATACGCAATGGCTATCACCGAATATCGATCTTGTGGTTTTGCATCACAGGGACAATGGATAAGCCTCCGGTTTTTGTTTTCCTTCTCGTCTCCGGACATCTGAAATCCCCCCGGGGGCACAATGAGGTGCGGGAAAATTTCGGGTATACCTGACGAGTTTTATTTCACTATTTTTTTTCTTTTTTTTTTCTCACTGTCGGTTATCGATGGGTCGAGAGTAATTGAACGGGAGGCGCCTGGACATGACGCCATAAAACCGAGAAGCCCGGAAATGAATGTCTGACGAGCCGCAGAATTAGCACCAACCCCACGTTCATGGACGTGAATTAACAACCCTGGACGTTTGTTCTCCCCCTCCTATTCGGGGCTCGATGAGGGAAATAGGAGGTATGATTTTTCTATCGGCTGGAGAAAGGACAACTATTGGAAAAAAATTCATTTCACGATTTTTCGATCGGCGAAACTCATTTGCAATAATTCCTCCATGAATTCTCCATCAATTAACCGATTTTATCATCTATTTAAATATTTATTAATTGATATTAATATATAAATAAATAATAATGTATATTATTAATATTTATGAAATATCAAAAATATCAAAGAAATTATTCGATTTTTAAATAATAAAAATAATAATCATAAAATCCATGAAAAAATTCCTTTTGCATACATTAGAATTATTATTGTTATTATTATTATTATCAGTGGTATTACTTCCGGTGACGGATATCATGGGTTAAAGATAGCGTCGGAGAGTAATCGCCTAGGAATTCCTTCGAAGAAAATTCGCGTGATAACGAGAAATCCGGACTTCAAAGAAAATCGACAGAATGCCTCAGCCCGAAAATAATAAAAATAGAAACCTCTTCATAACCGAGTGTGTGCCCAGTTATCACCGGTGTTAATGTGGTTTGGGCCCACCCAAGTCGGGCCCAGGTACATAAAAATTTACCGGAGTCCCCAGCGTTATGTACTTCAAAAAACCGAATTTCATCCCCGAAAATATCCCCTCCCAATCGCGCAATTAACATTTTTCGATAATTTAAAAAATTACCTAGCGTCTTGTGTCACCGTTTTATTTTGTTATAATATATCATATAAATTGAAGAATATATAATATATATACATTAAATATTCAATTGAAATTTAATTGAATATATATTTTATATATTTTTAATTTAATCGATTGAAAATTTGAAAATTATAGAAAATGTTTTTTAAACTGAAGTATGCGCTAATTTAATTTTTAAACTAATTAAAAATTTTTAATTATTGCCTGGACATAATTTTCTTTAAAAAAGAAATGAGAAAGTCAAAATAAATCCCGAAATAAATAAAATTATCGTCGGTAAAAAATAAACACTCATCCTCTACAATCGAATTGTCAAAACCTCAGATTCCCGGAAGATAATCCATAATCTTCGGTAAATAATAAATCGTCGGTTAATCGTCAGCATATCGAGGAACGATCATAAGAAAATAAACCAATCTGATTTCAAATAATAAATTCAATCGATCTAAGATGAAGTATAAACACAATATACGTCGCTGTTTGCTGGGAAAATAAAAATCGAATTCTGCAAACAGTTTGACTCCCGTTGAAGCAGTAAAATATGACAAAACAAAGAAATTAAATTTCAACTCCGAAGGGTTAAATTCGCACGGGAATTCGCATGGGAATTCGCACGGGATTTCCAGGGGAAGTCGCGACTGCAATAATCCCCAGACAATTAAAACAAACCAGATAAATTTACGATAATTATGGATTTTTAAATAAATCTTTAAGACTCAAATCCGAACGTAATGGGATTAATGTCAGTCCTCAGTTTGTCAAAACATCTTTTCAATTCGTATTTTTGTAAAAAATTTCAACTCCGAAGGGTAAAATTCGCACGGGAATTCGCACGGGATTTCCAGGGGAAGTCGTGACTGCAATAATCCCCAGACAATTAAAACAAACCAGATAAATTTACGATAATTATGGATTTTTAAATAAATCTTTAAGACTCAAATCCGAACGTAATGGGATTAATGTCAGTCCTCAGTTTGTCAAAACATCTTTTCAATTCGTATTTTTGTAAAAAATATGTACGTGACCGAGAGGTTCACCTGACTATTCCAGTCGGAAAAATTGACTCCGAGAATTTGAACCGGGGAAAACCATCTGATTTGTTGTTAAATCCTTGGAATAACAAATCTATTCCAAGTCGGAGGTGAAAAACGTGAACCTTTTTCGGTAATCATGTGCGACAGGTACGTTTTCACGTCTCGAGTGGCCCTGAAGTTGTTTTTATAGGGCAGATGGGGATTTCGGGACGAGAGAAAAAAAAAATGCCCAACACGTACGCGATGCGAATAAAAATATTTTTTATATATCCCTCCTTTACCCCTGATATCCCTCACCCCCTATTGTCAGGTTGGAAATCAATCTGAATGGATTATGAGGGATTAGTCTGTTTTTATTGGAGAAATTCTGGATTATTTCGTCGGATTATCGCACGGAATCCGAAAAAATTTAAAACTCAAAAGAAACAAACCGCTGACTATCTCTTGACTCTGTAATACTCCTGTCAAAACATTTGCGTGATGAATAAACCGATTGCATTTAACGGAAAAGAGGTCATTGGGGGTTTTCTCGGGTGGAAAATGTATTGGCGGGTGTGAAAACACCTAGGGAAAAGCCCCTGGTACCTGGTTTGTGGACCGGATTAGAAATCTTCTGATATAATCCAGATTTTTCAGATTACTACGGGGAAAATTGGATGATCTCTTCTACTCGTATTCCCCATTTTGTTTTTACTAATTGGGGAAATGTAATTGTGAATTTTGGTAATTCTCCCGGACACACCCGCTCTGTGTAAATATTCGGTGGATTATATTTGAATTTATTTTGAAATTTTTCTTTTGATTTTTCATTTTTTTGAAAATTGAATATCAAAATGGATTTTTTCGAAGAAATATTTTTTAATTGTTAATTGCAATTGTGATGAATCATTATAAACATCGGACGTTTAATCGGTTTAATCCGTGAGATTTCATTTTTTTAATTCTAATTGTTTATAAAAAGAGTAAAAATAAATTCCTCGTCAACAAATTCCGTTTGACAAAACCAACACTCTCCAGTTTTCCCGAAATATCGCAAGACCCAGAAGAGATATCAAAATTTTGATAACTACCTTTTTTATAGTACTCATCGCATTCTACAAAAAAGCTAGATATGAAAATTTCGTTATTTCCCGTAGATTAAGACATATTCCGAAAATTTGATAATAATGAAATTCGACTTTACCCGCCATCACTTTCCGATTTGGCTAAAAAAAAATGGTAAGCCCCTCCAGCATAAAATAATGAAAATATCGAAATATGTCACGTATCCCCACCGGTAAATTCCCCCCGAAAAGAAGAAAACAAAAAATCGAATGTGCTTTATCAAGGCAGAAAAGAGGCAGACGACGGAGGTAACGCGTGCCTCAGCGTAGTTTTCCCAGATTTGCAACCCCTGGGTTCGTCTATCTCAGGGTTTCCACCCTCCCTCATCCCTTTCGAACGTAAAAATAATAGACTCGAGTTTCACACTCAAGCCACCCACCCCCTCGATTTATTTTTTTTAACTGCACTAGAAAAATAAGGGCGAGATAACGCGTACCGAGTTCTCACGTGGAAAATTCCATTCTATTTTTTATCCAGGGGGTGAGTGAGTCATTTTGCTCGTGTTTTTTCGTGTTTGCGGTTGACGTAAACATGTTGTAAATCAAGATGAGTCAAAATTTGTGGGACCTGTTGGGATCACGAGAGAAACGCCCCCGTGAGGCGCCCCGTTGTGACACCCCATTGACTATTTTATGGGGCTCTTTGTTACCAAGTACTTATTACTCACCTCGTAAATCCTATGCGTAATTTATTTTCAATGTCTTTCAATTGGGTCATTTTGCCTGGGGCGTGATGACTCTGTCTGGTCATTATTCAGACATTTTTCCGGAAACGGTTTCAACGCTTTACCGATTTTCCCGATTTTTTAGATTAAAATTGATGAACAATTAAACTTTTCGGATCAATGGAAAGTCATGGAGAATCCTAGAGTTCTATTCAATGATTTTTAGGGTTCTATATGAATTATAATTAATTATATAAATTAATAAATATGTAAATATCAATTATAAAGAATATCCGAATTTGCATTGAATATATTTTTATAGGATTCACCATTTTGTTTTTAATTAAACGTTTCAATTTAATATTAAACATTTCAATAAATTCCCATTTCAATCAATTAATTATCAACCGTAAAGTAACAAGAATAATTAAAAACAATGAGAATTAATTGAATTATTCTTCGGAATCCTCAGATAATTAGAAATTCAATAGAACTCCTTTATTTTCCTAATGAAATTAAAAATTCCAGCTGTCAACCAAAAAGTGAAAACACAAAACTAAAATTTTACCGAATAAATGAACAATTGAACTTTTCTCTTCAATGATTTTTAGCGTAGAATATGAATTATGATTAATTATATAAATTAATAAATATGTAAATATCAATTATAAAGAATATATGAATTTGCATTGAATATATTTTTATAGGATTCACCATTTTGTTTTTAATTAAACGTTTAAACATTTCAATAAATTCTCATTTCAATCAATTAATTATCAACCGTAAAGCAACAAGAATAATTAAAAACAATGAGATTTAATTGAATTATTCTTCGGAATCCTCAGATAATTAGAAATTCAATAGAACTCCCTTATTTTCCTAATGAAATTAAAAATTCCAGCTGTCAACCAAAAAGTCAAAACAAAACTAAAATTTTACCGATTAACCCCGACAGTAATAGTAATAATAATAATTCCAGAATTTCATAGGAAATGAAGTGCAGGTGTTGGATGAGTCGCGATCAAATGAATCGAAAATTAGCACCGATTTTCCCCCCCTTAAAAAGTTAACTCTAATTATTCTTTCTGTACGTATGACTCGACGGATTCCCGTGGGCACATTTCAATTATCCAATGGTGGGGTGAAAACCCCCGGTTTTTTCGGTATGTAATCGTATAAATACATGTACAATCGATCGATTACTCGACGCAACGAACGACGCGATGGAAATTTCAACCGGAAACCCGTGGAAATAATAACCCCGGGATGGGACAAATTGAGGAATGAATAATTAAACGTATTTTGCATTATAACGCAATCACAAAACTGCCAATCAGAGAGTCATTAATTAATCAATGATTACAAAATGAGAGATTAAAAATCCATGAAAATTCATTCTCGATTTATCCGTAATTATCAATCAGCAGTAAAAATCGATTAAGTGAATTAATCCCGCGATTCGTCGATTTGAATTGTCGAGTCCGGATGTTGAAAAGAGAAGATTAACAAACGGAAATAAAAATTTATTAATAGATGATCATGATAATGCACGGAAACTCGAGTTTATGATTTAATTCTCGAGTTTTTCCTCGGTCGTTGTAAAATAATCACCGATTTATGGCGGCGGTGTGGGGCTTTTACCGTCGGTAGACCTCAAATAAAAGGGAAAAAATTTGAAAACAGGAAGGTAAAAAAAAATCTAAAGATCAGATAAATTTCCCGCCAGTTGGAATTTACATGGTCTTTCAGACAGTCCAAGCTTTCGATATTTATTCGCAAATTATGTGGAGAGTAAAAGACACGGGGAATTCAACGAGTTGAGGGTGTCTCGTCACAGGGTCGATTATGTCAACAATAAAGTTCAGTGGTTCTCCCCGTGTTTATGGAGCTTACTTGTATGGAACATCAATTCCGAATTACCAGTAAGCACAACGAAATTATTATTTCCCCCTTTTTTCATATTTTATGTGCAATTACTCGCAATTAAAAATCAGTTCTTTCCATTTATCTGATTTAATTCGCAAATAAATCACAATATCAATTATGGTTTTTAAATATTATAATCATTTTGCTGGCATTAAAAAAATGGCTTGACGATTTGAAATCCAAAATTAAGAATATGAGAGCAATTGAAATATTAACGAATTAATAATTCAATTGATAATTGCATTTTAATTTTAAATTTCATTATAAAAGGCCAATGAATTTCCTCTAATTTTCTTTTCTGCAATTGAAAATCAGATTTTTATTGGATTTTCAAATGAAATTTCTGTTTTTAACTCAAAATTTCCAGAGTAATTCCCCAATAATCCAAAAATGACTGAATTAAAATGGAATATTTCCAAATATTTCTG